GCTTGACTAAAAAAATGACGTTTTGATGGATAACTAAAACGAAAAAAGAAGAAAAAGAGAAGCCCATCCTCAGCTAACAATCTGCTATACAATGTTAAGCGAGACCAACACGCAGCTTCATCAAAGCGAGAAAAGTGGATGAATTATAGAAGAGATCCGATCATGTATAACCTAGAAATAAATTGAAAACCAACTATGCAAGAGAGTTGGCTTTACAGCCTTAATAACATAAATGGCTTAAAGGAAGTACTCTTTAGTGTCTTTTCTTCCAATGTGAAACTCATTTAGAAGTAAGATCTCCGGAGAGCTGAAACCCATATTTAAATTTTCAGGATTTCCAACGCACTACAATGGGGAACACCAGTGCTACATTAGGAAACAGCACTATGCCAGTGGCTAAAGTAAACACCGCTTGCTCAGTTGATTTTGTACACAAAAAATAAACCTTGACACAAACAATGAAAAGGCCTTTTCGTAGAATTCAAAACATCAGAATTCTACCGAGGAGGAACAACAGAACTTGACCCTTAATTGCTAACCATAACATATTCTAGCAGCTCTCGTGTGATTTAACAAAGCTCTATATGTCGCGAGTTGTGTTGGTTTAGATTTGAAAGCGGTCCTTATTTTGCAGCATATGAATACAGGAGAGGTCATGTGCTCACGAATGCGTCACTTTCATTTCTACTGATGCACAATACAGAGTTGCTCGATTGAAAAAAAGGTATTAGAATGGACCATACAATAATAGCTACGGGAACTAAAGCAATGAACACGATTGACAAGAAAGAACTGGGTCGTGGAACAGCTTCGTGGCACTCAGAAGTTCTGAATGCTTCAGAGAATAATGCTTCGATTTTCTGAAGCGATGACGTTCAACGTAAGTGATGCCAATGTCATACCGAAATACTCACGGTGAAAGAGATTCTTATAAAAGACGGAATAAAGTGTCAAAGATGAAATTCGTTTGACTAATTCTATCCCAAAACAGAAACCGTCACAGTCCGAATGTACACGAGATTGTGGAAAATTTTGCCCAACAACGAACGAAGAACAAGACGCCTTCAAATGGGATCATCTCGAGAACGAGTCCGGTGTTACAAGAGGTTTATTAGATCTGCATAATAAATACAAATCGAGACACATTCATGAGCTTACAACCACCAGTTGTATGTTCAAGTTGAAGAGTGTGAGAATAACAACATATCTCAAGATCCCTTTTCTGATTTAACGGCGCTTCTGTTTCTTATTCGCATGTGTAATTCTACACGATTTTTGCGATGAAAACACTAACAGTAACGGCTCTATTCGGAAATGGTTTCCCCTTGGTCCTTAAACACGACCCCTAAAGTAACCGTACTTTAGTCGTCAAAAATCGTACTTACCTGAGCCTTTCCAGATCGTATAGATAAAGACATGCTCCTTTAGCAATATAAGACTTTAACCACACGAATAATTGACTAAAGAAAAGGAGGCTTATGCGAAAGCAAATAATGTTGCATCCAAATAGAGACCAGTACCAAATTTTTTGCTAGGCAAATGCGAAACTGTACCTCTTTCGTGTCCAGCAAGTGGGAAATCGGCTGTGTATTTACGATGGATTCCCGAATGAAGGAAAAAAACCAGGGATAAAGGACAAAGTCGTCTGAAAGACGAAATGTGAGAAAGAAGACAGTATAAATTTCTCAATGACACATACTGGTTGCACCGTTGATTCATCATCATCATGCATTTGCTGACCAGCAGACAATGGCATTAGAGTGATGAAAAGAAAAACTCTTATAAATTGTAGACGAAAAATACGGTAATAGGAAACACCGTATACGTCACAGTCTCATATCTCAAAATCGTTGTATGACTCTTCTCTAACTGCTGAGGAACTATTCACGTTCACTAAGAAAAGACGTGGCTTTGCAGAAAGAAATGTTCCTCTGAAGAGTGAAACATGAGAGGTCACCGAAATGACAACTACTTCGTCGAGTTTTGAAATGATTCCTAGTTTAACTTCAACGAATGACATGCGCTTACGTCAGCAAAGTCTACAGGAAAACACTTCCGAATGCTTTGCTTTTCAGCAAAACTGACGTCCAAGAAAAACTAAACTGCAAAAATAATAACATAGTGAGAAAGTAACAAAACCAAAGTCCTGCTGGCACTCAGAACGTAGAGAACGTAAGTTCCAGAAACAACAGCGGTGAAAAGAAAAGTAACAAAACCAAAATTTCCAGAGCACTAAGAACCGTTGTACATCACTTTTCACTCCAATTTCACCTTTCACTGTAAAGTAATGAAGACAAAAAAGATTTGAACTAGGAAACGCAATATATTTAGTGAAATTAAATATGGAATAAAACAGTAATCTGCCAAGCTACCAACTTTGGTAATGGCACATTCAGTGGATCCGTACGTGGTAAGTCGATTGCGGACTCTTGATGGCGGACTTATGCGACGGCCATATCTATGGTTATCATAGCTTCTGTGATCGATGGTCGTACTACTTACAGTGTATACCGATTTCGTTCGACGGATCACCCTCATAGAGCGATCTCACGCCGGTTAGCCCCAGGTCAACGTGGGGTCCAATGTCTGCGCACAAAATTTCATTTCTCGCAAAAACGGGAAAAAGCCACTAAATTCAAAAATGAAGTCTCAAAACCACCAAGAACCGGGATTTTTCGAGCTCGTCAGTCTGATCATGGAAAGATGCCGTTATTGATACCATAGATGAAGAATACAGACGGTTCATTCAACATCTTCATGTTAGCACTATGAAAGCTAAGAGTTCAAAAGTCACCAAGCGACGTCTATCTCCAGAAACACTCGAGCTGATACGCCAGCGTGGAACGACATGAGCTTCAGGCAACCTTCAACTCACTTCCGATATTGCAAAGATGCAAAAAAGGGACGAACGGTCTTAAATTAGAGATGAGAGGTAGTTTAGGTCATATTCGAGTGAGTGTTCGAAACAAGGAACAAGTTTAGCTGTCGCGTCCCGCTTTCCACTGTCGAACGTTTGATTCACAATTCGTTTCCAGTCCTTCAACATACTGCAGCGAAACATCACACCAGAATGAAACTACACTTCAACACACCTATATCAAACGCTGTTCACTGCACTCACAGAACGACTAGGGTTCTCACCATCACCTGGTATAGCTGACGCTGAATCAAACCTCGCAGTTTGAATATTTAGAGAACGTTTCTGCAGCCTGACTTAACGTTTTACGTATGTAAAGTGAAACAAAAATAGCCCCGCCAGAATATCACAAATAAAGCTTCAAAAGCATTTTTTGAAAGCTAAGAAAAGCTCTCGATGTTGATCGAACCCTGAGAGATGCGTCATGCATTTGACTTCATTAAGCTTCGTTTGGAGCTGATTGAGTGCATATCTGACCTTTACAATGACTCGCAGTAACCTACCGTTATATCGAGTCAGCGTTGCTATCCTCTCAGAGAATTCTGCTGCCAATATGCTGACTGAGGAGGGTGCAAGGCTCGCTGGGCCTTCGGCGCCGGGACTGATCTTATGTGTGTGTTGCAGAGCGCCTCCAACCACTGGAACACAACGGTCACATGATAAGGGGAACAATAAGTGAATACCCATAGAGGGAAAACAACGTCGAAACCAATAATCAGGAAGATGACTGAACAATGTTACCTGATCACGTAAAATTGTTGTATCAATACACAGATGTGTTATTGTGGTCACAATTCTTATGCGTCGTAGTCAAGCGTGATTTCTACAGATGCTTTGACAGGTAACGCCATGAGTGTGGTCTTCTCATGACACTTGTATTAGTAGTTATCAAAACATCACTAACGTGTTTCACCATATTTCTTCATACCACATAACAGTAAACACCCATTACAACAAATGTTAATGACCTAACAGTACAACATATTGCTTTAGTGAGCAACGTTGCAAACATAGTGTCTCTCTGATCTCTGGTTGAAATGATGGATAAAATGGAATTGCTAAGATAAAGCTAAAGCAGTACTTTACCAGTAAGTTTCAGTTCAGAAAATCTGATACACATATAGCACATACCGACAAACAGATGCCCCGGAAATGAAGATGTTGAGATAGCTTGAAAATGCAAATGAGAGTTGACTAGAGCCTTCAAGGAAGTATGATAATGAGATACCCAAAGACACGAGACTGAACAGGAAAATCAGCACGAAACACTGAGTGAAATATTCAATAATTGACGAAAACATAAACAATCACATTTTCAATATCAATAATCGCGAATCAATACCAACTTGGGAAGTCTTAGCACAACATATACATATTTAAAATAAATAAAAAAGTACACTCTATATTACACTCACAAAGCTTCACCATGTCATAAGACCTGTTGTAGTTAAAAACGAAGTAAGAACGACCATTAGTAGAACTATGCAAATCATGTAAAAATCTACTATACTTAACATAAACTTCTGTCAACTGGGTGCCTTCTGGGAAACATCTGATGACATGTTCGGGTGCAAATACACATCACGAAGAATCGCGCCTACTCGTGCGGTCTCGTCAAGTTGCATGTTGTACTGATCCACAAGCGTCTTGATGAGTTGTTGAGCCTCGGACAACCGAGCCTCCAATATCACATTTTCACTTCCCAATTTCTCGATAACACCTCTAGCATCTCCGATTTGAAAGAAAGTCCTATAATGCGACCAACCAACTTCTGTGATACATTAGAACAAATCAAACTCAAACACATAGAACAGATCGAATTCGCTTTTTTCATGACAAGAGAAAAATGACAAAAGACAAATCGCGGTTTCAGAGGCTTCAGTAGTAGTGTGGTGAGTGATGTATCACAAAGAACTTGTTCAAATCAAATCACTTATGAGAAATAACGAGATTTTTGCACCTGATTTTTCCGAAATTTAACAAAATTAGTCAGAGTAGAAAATCATGATCCAAAAACATAAATCCTAATAGCTACAAAATAGTTAGTAACTAACCGTCTAAAATCTACGTCATTACCCTCGTTTCCACATAGACTATTTTTATGCCGAGAAGGAAGAACCGAGTGCAGGATGCGCAACTCGGTCAACTTATCTTTAGTTGCTTCTAAACGTCCTTTTAATTTTCTAATCTCGCGTTTCAGCACTACCTTATCCTAAAATGAAATGCTAATTCATTAGCAAGAACTTGTTTCGTTTTGGGCTAAACAACATACATCAACATGACTTCCTGCACTTGAACTGAAGTCTTCAATTCCACTCTCGGATAGTGTGTGGTCTCCAACGACAGTGTGGTAAAGCTCACGCAATCTCATTTCAGTTAGGTCGCACTTCTCACAGCGAGCAACCACATTCGACAACGACTGAAAATTTGTGAAAAATTTTGAAACTCCTAGATATCTCCTTATGACAGCTTGCATGCTATGACAGCTTGAACAGTCCTCCAAAACAGAACCTGACGTAGAGGGAAAATGGCGAAACAGACAACGACACAAAAGCATTGGCTAGAGTGAATCACGACCTGTGACAACTCACAAAAATTATTCGCTAGTCATGGACGAACTCAACTAAATAAGTGCTTCGCGGTTAGTAGAATTGATAACGGAGACTTTTTCCATAATAACAAAAATTCAAACGAATAAGCACCTAGTTGCAAGAACTCACCCGATTGAAAGAGTGAATTCCTGTTTGGTTATGCTTTTCCACGCTGAGAGATGAACGCGAAGCCAACAGATCAAACACTTCGGATTGTGATGGACCACTATTTCTAAACATTTATGGAAATCTTCAATAACTCCAATACATCCACAGACATATGCTAGTATCAGTTCATTACAGTTTTCAGGGTGACGATCAAAAGCACTAGTTTAATAGTGATAATGATATGCAATTGATTTGTGTCGATCACTGTGGCAGTTATGAATCACTAACTCATTTTCTTACCGGTTTTTTCATGTTGTGAAAAATTCTTTTCATGATAGCTCATATATTAAATCGGTAGCGCCCCAACAAAAATCTATTAGCTGGAGTTGGGTGAGAGAAGTTAATTTCGGTATGTTGCCGCTGCAAAAGTGCGAAACTAATTTTTTTGGGCAGATAGCACCAAAATGACAGCAAAACTCAGACTGTAAACGCATAGCAGAAGTAATCCTTGAAAAAACCTCTTAGAGGAGTTTAGCAGACAGAATTCTTCCAAATGTATTTTTATTTCCTGTATTTTGTACCTGTATTTTTCCAGAAGCGAAAAAACGTTGGCGGTTCTATTCTCAGGGATAAAAACATTATTGTGCGCATTGATAGAATTCTTGAAACGTTCTTGCAGTTCCACTAATCGTTTCTCATAACTCTTCTTCTGACTTTCCAGCGAAAACTCAAGAGTCTGAAAAATTCAAAAGTAGCAAAAATTTAATTCTTTAGATAACGATACTTGCTGAATAAAGTGATTCACTACCTTGATTTGTTGCTTGTAATGTTCTGTTGCACCTCCGTCGTCTGATCGATTAACAATAGATGAAATTCTTTGCAATTCCGCATCAAAATCTTCCTAAGCACAATAAAGTCGACTACGTCACACCCTAATTCTGGGTCAACTTAAAAGACCAAAGAAATTTCCAAACGTACGCATGGAACAGATATAAACTTTACTGACCTGTAGTCTATTCATAAGCTTCATTTTCTCTTCGGCAAAGTTTTTCTCCAACTGATTTTTTTCAGTAATCAAACGCACTTCCCATTGTCGCCGTTCGCGTTCCAACCTTAGAAGCCAAAATTTTCAACTTTTACAGCATTTATTCTATACGATGAAAGGTGAAACTTTATAAACGGAAAAAAACAAAGGAAGCAAAATAAAATTAACACGAAAGTATGGAAACTAAGCGATGAAGAATTGTCATACTGTAAAGTGAGCTGCTTCTGTTGATCGTTGAGGGCCTCGGCCAGAGTTTTCGCTGCGGTTTGGCGTACTGCGATCAATTCTTGCTTGTGCTCATTACAAATCCGATTTAATTCGCTTCCAAGAATACCACTGTTGCCAAGAGCTACTTTTGATGACTCGGTTTCATCTGAACATATAAGTCTGTTTGGTTTAATGCACTTACCTACGATGATACTTTGACGGCCAGTTCTTACTGGTTGTGCAGGCCCCTGAATAATGTCCACTTTTTTTTTGGAGCTTTGTTGGTTTAGCCATTTTGGTTCCCTTGAGTTCCGAAGTCAGCCAGGGCAAAGTCTGCCCGCCCCAGGGTCTCCATTACAGGTAGTCGCCGCCCTTGTGGATCAGACGGATATTTGCACCATGCGGCCACTTTGACAACAGCACGGTGGTGGATCCTGGTACTGCTCTACTCTTAGCTAAGTTTCCTGATAGAATTTCCGGCCTTCTTTTCAGCTTACGAGACCCTGCCTGTGGGATGAATCCTCCGCTGTACATCACAGCCCGACACCAAATGGCCACCTTTCAGCCGAGATAAGGCGGTACACCGTTGGGAGAGTTTGGTTCAATGTACTGTTATTGAATCGTAGATGTCTCACAAAACAAGCTAAAACTTAAAAAAAAACCAATGAAGTTGTTGAGATTACGTGAACTACTCGGAAAGAGCACACGAATGAATAGAAAGAAGCACAAATGGTCGACTGGGTTAAATGGCTGTAAAGTTTGTAGTACCTGAATCCTGCATATGAAGTCGTGAAGCAATGCGTTCGTGTCGCATTCTTCTCTCTTTTCGTTTCAGAAGCCTACGTCGTCGATGTCGAATGAATATGGACTCAGGTTCACTCTCCATTTCAGACAACGTGTCACCTTTAGCAAGTCTTCGTTTTCGGATTAACATCATCTAAAAAGGAACAGTGAATAATAGCAATGTTGAGCATCATCGCTTAAACAGTACTGCATGAGAAATTAAGGAAGGAAATGCATTGACGCAGAACATTTATAAAAAAGATAAAATTTTTGGAAAAAACTAGTATATAAGACCTATAAACCTCAGCAAACAATAACCTGGCTACGAAACGCTCCGCTCCATTTAATGAAAGGCTCACAATCATTTGACTTAGATCTCTTCTTTTGGGAAGCAGCAAGGTCTTGGACTTTTTCTCTGAGGCGCTGAAAGGATCGACTGATTACACAATAGGTGACATATTGGTGGACTGAAATAGAGTATTCAAACAATGGCAGACCTTGTTATGTGCGACAACAATTTCAAGCTTTTGTTTGTACAGGATCAACTGGCCGTTTTCTTCTACGGGATGAGATTGCACAGCCTAAAATGAAATAGATCTTTGTGGAATTATGCAACACCACGTTTTACTATGAGAAGTCAAGATCAGCTTAAAAAATTGCCTTGCTGAGTTCCGTTCGAAGTTGTCTATTAACCTGCTCGAGTTGACTCATCGCCTCAGACTGTTCGCGATTTTCTTCCAGAAGTCGACTATTTTGTCGTTCCAGTAACATAACCTTGTTCTTCGTTGACGTTTCAATTTGCCGTAAGCGCGAGAGTTCCTCTTCGAGCTGGAACTATTTAGATTGAAGTACTGAAAATGTGGAATCATTGCATGGATATTTAGATCACCTGCTCAACTTCATGCTGAATTTCCCTCTTATCAAGTCGAAACTTATCTTCCATCTGTATAAATCGTGTGCGATAACGTTCTTCGGTCTCTCTGAGAAGAAGCGATAAGACAGCAAAAAGAACAATAAGTATGAAAACTTAAGCCAGTAATGATCTCCTGCACTGTGTAAAGTCAGATGCGCTCACCTCAGCCTTGTCTCATAACCTTGCTCAATACTGATCTGATTGTTCTCAAGTTCCTCAATAAGCAAGGTTCTCCTTTGATTCCCAAGCTGCAGCTGTTTATGTAAGTGTTCAGCTCTGGATTCACCTTCCCGAACCATACACCTATACACATGTACATGTACATATATATACATATACATATGTACGTATTTAGCGTCCTTCCACAACAAAAAGAAAGAAAGAAAAGAACCAACCTAAGATTGTCTATACAACAATGAAGAGAAATTATCGCTGCTTTAACCGATACGGGTGCTTCGGATGTTGATCTCGATAGCTCTCTTTCCAAAAACCCAGACAGACAGACAGCATTTATGAGACCACTCATAGGCTGACCGGACTCCTGCAATTTTTGAACCATAGGAATACCAGATGTTACAAGATTGCGTAATTCACATGGTAGTTAGTGCTAAACAGCCATAACTACCACCAATCCTTCATATGCGTAGTTATGCCGAATCGAAACGAAACTGAAATCTGCAACAGCGTAGAAGGGCTCAGTATCTCTAGTTAATTTCATTGCAAAGTCGAGTTTATTCTCAAACTTACACTGAAACATTATACACATGAAGCACGTTAACACTGGTCTGAAATGTAGGGGAATTTCAAATAACAAGAATTCTCAGACGAAGTATATAATCTTTACGTTCCTTCCGAACTCCAACCTATACTTGTGGAAACGAAAGGATTTACACAGTCATAAACTCTCTATAAATTCCGAAAATAAGTGAATTCATCATTACGCTTGTATTTCACATTATATTCTGTTGCAAAAAATTGTAGTAGGCAGCAAACAAAAACTTAGCATTGTATTTCAACTACAGGCTTAGCTTAAGTGGGTTCACTGCCTATTTGCGCTCTCCAAATCAATCGCGTTGACGGGTGATTGCTGATGGCACTGGAAGATAGGAATAGCCAAGCAGATTCACTTAGTTCAAACTGTGAACTTTCAACCAGGAGACATGTTCGCACACCTGCACAAGCTATCGTGCAAGTACCTCGCACTGACCTTTGCACTTCAGACTCCTACAATAAAACTGGCTTCTATGTAATAATACACA